TTCTGGCCCGAAGTCCCTCACTTGTAGAACACGGGAGCCCAGTGGGGCTGTGGAGTATGTGTTAGACTGCTAGCCAGAAGGTCAGAGGTTCAAAGCCAACAGCCATTCCACGGGAGATAGAGGAGCCCATCTGCTCCTGTGGAGATTCACAGTGAGATAGTTCAAGTTGATTGTGCCAACCTGGTCGAACATCCCTTTCACAGGGGTCGCCCGATTCATCACAGTAGCAAAATGACAGTGATGAAGTAGCAATGAAAATAATTTTATGGTTGGGGGGGGGGGGGTCACCACACCATGAGGAACTGTATGAAAGGGCTGTGGCATTAGGAAGGATGAGAACCACTGTTCTAAGTGATCCTGCCCTGGCCCTGACCCCACTCTCACAACCCCAGTTCTACCTGACAAGTCTGGCTGAACAGGAGCATGTGCACTGGTACTGATAATAGCTCTCGACACACAGAATCCAGGAGCAGCGATACCATGAGAGTCGGGGGAAGGTGGGGAAGAAGGGGGGGAAAGGGGAAACCAATTGTAATGATTGATGTATAACTAACCCCCCCCACCCCCCCCACCCCCGGGGAACAACAACAGAAATCTGGGTAAAGGGAGATAGTAGACATGAAAATAAAACTAATTTATAATTTAGCAAGGATTCACGGGGGTGGGAGGGTGGGGAAGGGATGGGGGGGAAAGTTGCTGGTACCACGGGCTCAAGTAGAAAGAAAAGGTTTTGAAAAGGATGATTGGGACATATGTGCAAATGTGCTTGATACAATGGATGGATGGTCCTAAGAGCTGTAGAAGTCCCCAGTAAAATGATTTCTTAATAATAATAATAAAAGGACAGTGGCTTCTGAGTGGATCTATTGGGTCAGGGAAGCTCCAGGCAGAGGCCAGCTCAGAAGGTCATCCTGATGGATTTTCGTGAACGGCCTCAACCCTGGAATATAGTTCCTCATGTGGTGGTGACCCCTCCAACCATAACACTATTTTCGTTGCTACTTCATCACTGTCATTTTGCTACTGTGATGAATCGGGCGACCCCTGTGAAAGGTCATTTGACCCCCCAAAGGGGTCGAGACCCACAAGTTGAGAACCGCTGGCATAGGATGACCATGGAGGCTTATTATGGAGAAGTGTTAGAAAAATAGAAAACTGGAACCTATAGGGACAGCAAGTGGAATAAGGGTTTGGGGAGGGGGGAGGCTGACAGTGGGGGGAGCAGGTAAAAGGGAGCCCATGTCCAGGAGCCCAGGGAGGAAAAGTATGTTTGAAAACTGATTGCTGTAGCAATTGTGCAATCATGCTCGATGGAATTGAACTCTGGAATAATATCAACTCCCAATTCAAAAAGGAAATGGGAAACTGCATTGGTGAGAAAAAAAAGATGGCAACGTCGAACCAAGGTATTGTTTCACATCAGGACAAGGCCCCGGGCCACTCCTCACAAATCGCAAGCCCTGTCCTTTGAGGAGGTCAGTGGGAAGTCTTACCACATCCACCCTGCAGCCCCCAGGCGAAGTTCAGCCTTGCTGTCTTCCAAGCTCCGAGAACACAGAAAAGGAAACGTTGTCGGGATCCTGTGAGGACACCGCAACTATCCTTTTGATGGGGTGCAAACCAGAGTGCAGAGATATGGGGGGGGTTGTTCCAATGCAGAACGTCCCCCCAAAACCAATGTGTTTGGGGGTTTTTTTGTTCCAACTCATGTACAACAGAACAATACTCTGGTCGGCCCCGCACCATCCTCATGTTTGAGGTGCTCATGTTTGAGCTCATTGGTGCAGCCACTCTGTCCACCCAGCTTGTTGAGGGACAGGGCTGGTGATGGAAACCCCATCTTCAGAAGGGCACGGTGCCAACTCGTAGTGGCCCTGTAGGGTGGGGTAGAACTGCCCCTGTTGAGTTTCTGAGGCTGCAACTCTTTACGGGAGTAGAAAGCCCCACCTTTCTCCCTCGGAGGGGCCGGTGGTTTCGAACTACTGACCTTGCAGATTGCAGCCCAACCCACTCCGCCACCGGGGCTTCTCCATCCTGGGTCAGAGCTCAGTAAACGTTTGCTGGAGGAATAATACAACGTGGTGCTCAGTTACTCCACACCTGAGGGGCAGGATCCAAGGTTTAGGATCCAGGAGAGACCCGAGCAGCATTTCCCAGCAGCTACAGGAGGGGCCTCAGCCCCTCTTCCTTCAGACCCAGGAGTCCAGGTCCCCAGTCCCTCCCTCCCTCAGACCCAGGGGTCTTGATACTGTCTCCTTTTCTCAGACCCAGGGATCCAGCTCCCAACCTCTCTTCCCCTGACCTAGGAGTCCAAGCCCCCAGCCTCTCCCCTCCCTCACTCCTCATATCCAGTCTAGACCCCCAGCCCCCTCCTCCCTCTGATCTAGGAGTTCAGGCCCCCAGCCTCCTCCTCCCTCAGATCTAGTTGAAGCCACCACACCTTCCTCCCAAGGGCCCACGTCCCCAGCCCCCTATTCCCTGACCCAAGGGCTCAAGCCCCTAGCTTTTCCCTCCTCCCTCAGACCCAGGAGTCCAAGCCAGACTCAGGTGCCTGGGCCCCTGGCTCCCCGCCTCCCATGCACACGGAAGCTGCACACAGGAAATTCGCTTTATTGCAGTGCGAAGGGAGGTCCGAGCTCCATTAGAAGGAGGGAAGGGCGGCGGCTCGCGGGGGCTGGGCACCCGCCCGTGC